GTTTCAAGAATCAGTACAGACGGTTTGGCCTAATGCTTTGGCTTAATTATTTTGAGCAGGGTCGCCGAGGTACCTATATGGGAGACGTTCTGACATCCCAAGACGATTGAGCACGTGGCTACGAGTATTAGCCTACTGCTCAGTGTGTGCAAGATCGTCCCCCACAAACCCATAACGGCGCACTTTATTGCACAGATACCGTGATGCAGTTTATGGTCAGGTAAGGGAGTGGGCGCGAAGGACACCTTGGATCTTATGGCCACTTAAGGTGATATGGACGGACTATACGGCCTGATATATGCAGTGGTCAGCTATATTGTGAGAAGCCTCCAATCTGAGGGTGGACAGATATCTCTGCGTCGCACTGCTTTCGTCCATGATGGAAACTTACAAAATCGAATAATTGTTCTAGGTTGGTAATTAAGGCTAACGATCGTTGCCGTAACTGCGACCGCAACGACGAACGATCGGCAAAACAGGTTGATGGAGCAATAAAAATTCGCTCCGTGTACATATCTACTACTTGGTTGGCCCGATCACGTGTACGTCCTTCTTACGCAGCGCACCCACTCTGTTCGGGTCTTGTCCACGTATTCTCTCAAGTCGTCTTTGGTACACAGGGCAATAGAATACCTCTCACCCAGCCACCTTTCTGGCCGATTTGGTTCAGCCGCTCACATTCTCTCTACCTCTGGTCACTTTTGCTGAAAATGGATATTACTGCCTTATTCGTCGATATCTTCAACCCTCTTCCAGCTTATCCAAGCAAGCAAAGAGCAGTGCACTGTGCCGCATGCTCCAAAGAGGCCATGTCCGCTGAGTCGAAATGAAAAAATCGTGGGTTCATTTATTCGTTCGGAAACAATGGTTTCTAAAATTCTGCCTTCTAGATGGCAGTGCGAAATGCCCTGCGTTACATCCCAAAGCATCATCACGATGTTCTAGCGAAGGAGTTCGCAGAGGAGCTGGATAAGCACGGGCACATCTATGCGTACCGGTTCATGCCGAACTTCCACCTGAAGGTGAAAAATTCTCTGAATAGCAGGGATCACGCTCACTGAAACCGTTTCAGGCACCATCGCTAAACGAGATTCCTGCAAAATGTCAACAAGCAGCAGCAATCATTTCGATGATTCTGAACAATCTCGACCCAGAAGTAGCTCAGTTTCCACAGGAACTCGTCACCTATGGAGGAAATGGCCAAGTGTTCAGCAACTGGATACAGGTAAAACCTATTTATAAGAACTGCTTTCAGTTTGAGAACGTTCGAAAACATACCGTGACTGGGTCGGAGTGAGCCACGAAGATGCTTACATAAAGCGTTCTGATACCAGTCATCATACTCTTTATCCCGAATATGGGAGGGGCGTGGCTGCGTAGTTCACTTGACTGCGGCGGCGGCTGAACATTTACATTTATTGTTCGTGAGATATTGGCGTTTTGAGGGAATTGCAGTCATGACTTTGTCAAGCCAAAGAAAAGATGTCAGTAGCTTCGGATGGAAACATAACTTACGCCAAAAGAAGCCCCCAGCCACGCCTGTCCAATTTTCGGGATATGGAGTGTAAGGAGGGACCGCACCGCTCGTTCTTCGGACATTGACAACAAGCAAAGGAATGTCCAGCAAAAGTATAAAAGAAGTTTGGCGGACATCAGTGAATGCATGCTCTGGAAAGGAGAGGTGCGGGAGAGGAAACGTTGGCTGCAGGGCACGCCATCGTGTTGTGAAAAATTCCCTGCAAAATACGACCCCCCCCTCGTCCTCTAATTCCATCCTCTGATACGACCCCTCCTCCCCATCCTACCTACCACTTTCCTGAATTAGCTATTTCTAGCTCTCCCCAAAATTTGGCTATCAAAGCGGAAGGGTGTGGGGGGGGAGGCGGGGGGGGGTGGGAAGGAGGGAGGTCGTCAAAAACAGACTTAATTTCAACTATCGGAAATACTAGTTGTATAAAAGTAGCTGTATAAAACCTTGGCGGTCAATTACTCCAAAGACAAATATACGACCCCCCTCCCAACAACGAGCAAATACGACCCCCCCCCCCTTATAGCGTCCGTGAAACAAGAGAAATCAACTATCAAAAAAATTTTTTCTCAGACCAAATACGACCCCCCTCCCTCGCGTCAAATACGAATCCTGAGCCTTGTTATGAGTAATCTCCTTTTTCCTATTTGAAAGCGATTGATACTTTTGTGGCGCGAAGAAATGAAGGAATATTTGAGAACAAAAAAGACACTGCTCATGGAGTGTAACCCTGGAATTAAAATGACACGCAGGGCATGTGAATACGAGAGGAATTCTCTCTGGACGCTGACCCTAGCCGGAAAACCTACAGAATCGGTCGGGAGTGCGTGCGATCCTGGAGTGCTTGACAACCGGCTTCATTGCACTGTGGGGTTATCAGAGACAAATCCTGAGCCAAAGGGTCGTTGACCAAGCAGCTGGACGCTGGTGTATTGACGACAGCAGTATCAGCGCGGAGTTGTATGAGGAGTGACCCAAGATAATGGAAGAGGACTTGTTCCCACTCACAGAGGAACGCAGCTATTTTATCTTGGGAGCTGCCATGCGACATAACTTTGATGGGCACGCGGACAGCAAAGCGTCGCAATTGTGTCCCCCCCCCCCCTCCCTCATCCCACTTCTGTGGAAGACTTGCGACATGTTAGGACCTGTTTCTTTTGCTGAGTTGCGCCTGTTGGACGTTCAAGAAAGGAAATCGGAGGCAGACCATCAATAGCCCTTCTCCAACAAACGCCACACTACCTTCTCCGGCAGATCATTGTCCACCCCAACGTGAGCAGAATTCTCAAATGTCAAACTTTTGTGTGACCATATTTATGATTCGTCCTACTGATAAGCTTGCAGTTTCGCCTGGTGCTCCTGTACCTGTCGAAGATGTCAGACGAGCAGACTCTTGTCATGTATTCGGGACATCCACTTGGTCTATTCCCAAGTCATCGCGATGCACCAAGAGTAACTATAACCAATGGCATGGTAAGTGATCATTTACTTTTATTAGAATGTGAGGAACACAAATAGGAGCCATTGTAGATGATTCCAAACTACTCCACAAAGCCTCTATACGACAAGTATTTTGCTTTGGGAGTTACACAGTATGGACAGATGACAGCCGGCAGCTACTGCTACATTGGGCCTCAAGGAATTGTTCATGGCACAACGGTGAGAATCACTTCGAGAAACCACAGTCATGATCTCTGCAAACAAAGGGGGGTGAAGGTGCGTGACTTGGAGCGCAGCCAAGACAGCTTTTCCCGCCAAATGTTACGGAATCAGAATGGCATTATTGGTGGAAAACCTCGCCGCATGAGTCTCAGTCCACGCCCCCTCACACATCCTACCGTTTGCAGGGATCATGACTGTACTTATCGAGAAATAGCGGATACTCAGATGAATTCAGATCACTATTTTGAACGCTGGCCGACGTTACCTTGGAACAGGCGACCTGACTGGAAAGGTGTTCGTAACCGCGGGCCTGGGCGGAATGAGCGGAGCGCAGCCTAAAGCCGCTACCATTGCCGGCTGCATTTCAGTCACTGCTGAGGTAGGAGATTAGTGTTTCTTTAGTCAATGTTCTCGTAGTGTAAACTACCTCTAAAAAGAAAAAGTCTTGCCAGTGTGTGGGGTGGGTGGTAAGCTTTGGCCACAAATGCACTTTTTAACGCCTTGAACTTTCAAGAGTAGCTATAAAACTGATTGTGTTTTAGCCTTTTGCCTAGGCAAATGATATCATCCCAGAAATAGGCAGCTTGGTGCATGTAGCTAGATATCAGTGCGCTTTCTCAAAGACAAAGATGCAGGCTCAGCCTGCCGAAGGCGGTCTTACTCAGTCATAGGGGTGAATACAGGGGGGAGGGGCCAAAAAAAAAGAGGTCACTTCGACCGAGTCAATATCAGCAAGCGTTTTTCGCAGCCAGAGAGAAGACGTGGATCGAGTTACCACGGGGGCAAAGATACCCAAGATGTTCCTCGATAAGCAGGAGCTGGCCCTCGCCCATCACCTTCATGTACACCAAAATATGAGGTCATCTCCAGTCGCAGCCTGACTGGAGAAGACCTTTGGAATTCAGTTTCAATCAAACAGCTGCGGACGAAACTTCTAGTGTGGATTCTACCATGGATAGCTACCTGGAAACCAGTACTCTCAATCTGGAAGACCCCCGACATCGAGCAGCTCCGACAACGTCGCTACGGTCTACTACGGTCTAGGACATCATCTTCACCACAGTCGCCAAGGCACGGCGGTTAGATTGGCATGGACCGGATGCACCTGGAATGGAAAGACCAATATTTTCTTCGTGGGCCCCGGGCTGAAGCTGATTGTGAGCGCTGGCGACATCCAACAACTCAAGAAGAATATATTCCCACATGTCGTCGCCCGTACCTTCTTGGAACTTTGTACTGCTACAGCATTGGGTGCCACCACGTGGAATCGAAGGGCGTTGGAGAAACTCTCGCCTACCTGGAATGGAAGGGGGCTGAGTACCTAAAGAAGATGGAATATCCAAGTAGGTCACCTGACCTGAATCCCCTCAATTACCCGGTTCGGGCGGAGTTCAATAGGGTGGTCTACGGTGGCGGAGAAATCGACTATCTCGCTGATCTCAGGGACCACATCGCGGTTGCGTGCCAGAATCTCTCGATGGCGCTCCTCCAGAAGGCTGTGGCGGAGTGTCATAATAGTATTTAATATGCTCTTTAATATGGTGGTAGAAATGTCAGAATTTATAAAGTGTAACTTATAGCGCCTCGAAAGTCAATGAAGCAAAGTGACTTTTTTTGCCCCCCCCCCCTTAGATCAGCAGCTGCAGTAGCGTGCCGACAGGCTGAAGGGTAGTGGTGCTCGGGTGTTGTTCCCATACTCCACCCGCACTACCTTCAAGGTGCAGCACTTGCGTCGATACCTGTACCGCAGCGAAACACACGCTCAGACGTGTAGAACAAAAACAAGCAGAAGAGAGGGGGTGCAGAAAAGTAGCGCGCTTGGCTACGGTTAAACGTGTAGTTAGCAGCGTCGCAGCACGGGTGGATTCTCGAACGGCTCCCACGTGCCAATACCCTCCAAGCCCGCTCCCAGGCACTTCGAGCAGTCCAAGTGGCACGCTATAGTGCAGCTGCGGATCCGTTGACTTCGCACATGACGATAACAATGTTTCTATGTTTCTTTGTCTTGGATTACGTCCCTCCACTTCCTTCTTCGAGACTGCTCTTGGTTTATTGCTTTGGGCTTCCAAAACTACTGCCTCTCACATCGGCTGACTTCGTGACCTTCTCAGTGAGTGTCAACTCACTGCTCACGGACCTTTGGTTGAGCAAGGATCGTCTACGGAGTCACATTGATGTCCTCATTTCTGCACAGGGAGGGGCAAAAAAAAACTTTGCCCGAGGCACATATCTATAAAGAATACGCAGTCCAGGATACGAGTACCAGGACGGAAG